ATTTCACAGTTTGTTTCACTTGTTACTGCCATGCTCTAGCTGATGGGTTTGTTCTTTGTGGGTTTGATTGCTCAAAAGAGTTCCAGAGAGAGGACTAGTGAGCCAGGAATGGAGATCTGCCTTCAGACAGTTCTTTGACTTTTCCTGTCTCCATCTGCTGGTAAAAGACAAGATTTTCTGTTGAAACTGATCATAGCATCAACAGCGGAAACTATAATTTTCTTTAATTTCCTTTCATGGGTATAGGCACCTTCCATTGGGAACTGGACAGAAATGATCAATTTGTTTATTTTTAGGCCGCTTAATAATAGTTATCAAACACCAATAACTTTTGATCTGTTGTAGGTTATACTACCCTGGGAGGAGTGAGTTAGATATTCAAACAGATGTACTAATAACCTGAGAATTCCAATCAATGTGCTGATGAAATCAGTTTGTTCACTTATATGAGAGTGAGAGACAATCTTAAATGGTCTCTTTTAAAATATTAATATTTTTACTGTTATGGAGCAAGCAGATAAAGGAAGTAACACATATTGGAATTTTCAACTTGCTTATTTATTTTAACTGATTTCTGCAGACAGGTATGTAAAGGTCATGTTGTACACAGATTACCACTACTTTACCGTTAATATACAAATATGTCAGTGTTCGCCCCAGAAGGAATAAAACTCACAATAATGTCAGGTGTCCACTATGCACAGGGTAACAAGATGAGAGGTTTTATGTGCAAATATTTTATTTGGGATATACATATTACTCAGAATACAGCCTTTCAGACAGTAATAAATATTGTTTCATTCAAAGTTGTCTTAAATTTGTATGTGATTTATGTTATGCAATGAATTAAGTTGATTATTATTTCCATCTACTCTTTTTGTAGGTGCCTCTGGCTTTGATGCTTTTACAACAGAGGTTTTTATAGACCTGAACAATTTTTATGGAAACAACCCTTTACTTTGATTTTCTACGTCAATCTGTCTTATGTTTATAGGAATATTTTTCAAACACTATACAGATTCTGATAGCTACATTCATTCATGAGGTAAAAGGGTGTTCTAGGAAAGCTATTTCCCCATGAAATTTCAGGATCACATGGGAAGGAACTACATGCATTTTTGTTTCAGTGGCTTTAATTTTAAAGCCTTTTGTTAAATATTTTTCTCCTCTGCAAAGTTACCGCTAAATGATACCTTTATTTAATAGATCTTTCTGTAGTCAAACTTTTATTATGAGTTTTGTAGGCTCACCTCAATGTCATTTTTTTCCTGTTCTTTACTCCCCCTAGCCCAGGAGGTTCCAGGTCAGTCAAAGAGACTGAGTCCCTCCTCAAACATTATTGTCCACAGGGATCCTTAGGCCGAGAGTTCCACAAATGCCTTCTCCTGAGAAGAAAGTTATTTTTGCGTATATACTATAAATGAACAATAACTAAACAGCTTTGCTTTCAGAATGCAGATGGAATTTGCATTGAAAAGAAACATCTATTTATTTGTATTATAAATCAGTGAATCAACTTGAAACAAGAATAAACAGGAAACCCTGCAATGCAGCCTCAGTGGGAAAAATTGAGTAACTCCTCACTGGTAGAGAGTGAAACCATCCCAGATCCTGTAGGAATGAACACTGTTTTGTCAGGACCTATCACTATCTCTTGACCACAGAGGAATCCTAGAAAGCTGGTTTCGAACAGAGGCCCCACCACGGTGGCGGCTGAAACGAGAGGAACAAAACCCATCCTGAAAGATTTAGGAGCCTAATTCCAATTTTGAAGAGAAATGTTTGGTGAGTCTTTCATTCCCAAGCCAGTTTTGAAAGTGGGGTTGGGCTCTTGCCATGCTGGAATGAAGTCCTAAAAATGCCTCAAAATTGATACCTGCCCTCCTTGCTCTTCTGGGCATCAAGAGCTGTTAGTACCCAAGTCACTTTGAAAATGGCAATTAAGCATCTCAGTCGCAGAATTAACAAGAAGGGACTCAATTAATATCTGCTTTATCCAGGACAACATCATCTTTACTCAAATGATCTCTGACAGATGTTTGTCTAACCTCGTTTCAAAATCCTCCTATAACAGAGACCTCACGACCTCCTCCGCAGTCTATTACCATTCTTGCCATCCATATTGATAGTATTTTTTTCCTAATGTCTAATGAAAATCTCCCTTGCTATGGTTTAAGCCTATTACTTGTTCTGTCCCTTGTGGACATTCCGTAGCCTTTCAGGCATCAGAACAGCATTAACACGTATTCCCTCCTTATTCTTTTCCTCATACTTAGTTGAGGCTAAAAAAAGGCCCCTTAGGCTCTGTGAAATGTTTTACCCACAGCCGTCTCACAAGTAGAGCTGCTTGTTAATGTCTTCATCAAATAGCAGTTAGGAGAAAAAAAGTGTACCCTAATGGCATATGGTAGGAAAGAATTTGGTACATCTGTGTCCACTTCAGAGACACTGTGGTTTAAGCGGCGATTTGGGGTTGGATCCTCTGCCCGTACTTCCTGGGATGTCAGGAATATCAGAATTTTCAGTAATAACCTTTAAATGCACCCTGTCCTCCCTCGAGTTTCTCCTGAGGTGTATTGCTTCTGCAGTTAAGGCTCACATCTCGCACAGCTCCGCGCTGTGGCCTCATTCCTATCTCAGCAGCGTCCTAAGCACCGCAGCCTTCCTGAAACAAGGATCATCTCGCTACCTTCTGCAGCACCAAGCCAAAGGGAGCCTGCCCAACCATTGCTTAGGCCCCGCCAGATAGTACTCAGCAGCGTCCTAAACATTGCAGCCTTCCTGAAACAAGGATCATCATCTCGCTGCCTTCTGCAGCACCAAGCCAAAGGGAGTCTGCCTAACCATTGCTTAGGCCCCGCCAGATAGTTATGGCAATTAATAATAGTAATAGTGTTCTCAGGAAGCAGTTTCCATTCAATATAAACTACTTTTTTTTTCTACTCTAACTGACAAGATTTTGAAAGTTTGCATTCATTTTATGGCATTTCAATTCGAAGACGTGACAGGGAGTTTGTGTGAATTTTATTTCCTTGAATTTTTAGAAGCGTTAGGGTTTTACTCAGCGGCCTGCAGAAACACATCTTGAAGGACACGTGCGCATCATGCCCACCTTTGGATAGCGGTTCCCAGGGATGCGGGCAGGGAACCTACCAAAAAAGACCAGTGCATCCCATGGCCACCAAACCCAGCAAATTGGATTTTCTGTTGTAAGCTTGTTCTTTGGATGCACACCTAATACCTTTATGTGCCAGCTGTGCTGATGTGGCCTCTATGGTTTTAAATTAATATTGTTGTAAAGCATTTCTCTTCAATTAAGAGGAGCTCCCCTGTAGGAAATTTCCTGAAACAATACTCATTAGTAATAAACAGATTAAATCTTTATCAGTTAATCAACACTATAAACTTTTAAGTATTCTGAGAGCAGCATGAGGTAACACTGTCGTCATAAGGAGTGTTTGAAATCATTAGGGTTCCCACTGTGCCATTTGGGTGGTGAGAAAGTAATGGTTGAAGATGGAGACCCCCCGATGAGCTCAAGTGTGAATTCACCTGAAGATGAAAGTGGCTCAGATTTGGGCCCCATCCCTGAAGCCTTTTTTTCTCCTAAATATCGGGCAGTGGTGATGGGCAGTATCATTGCCATCCTTCATGGTGTTGATGCTGGGAACTCGTGGTACCCCTAAAGTTTGGAGCAGATGGCTAGGGAAATTTTAGGGACAGTCCCTGTCCCCTGTTCACGGGACAGTCCCTCTGCCTTTTCCGAGCGCCTGTTCCCAGTGGATCACTGTCACAGAAGAACCTGTGCTGGAGGCTGCGGTACAAATTCCTCATTTTGTTCCAGCCCGAATCCTCCACACGATCCCCGCTGGCTCTCGCTGCCCTCCCAGGACTCATAGAATCACAACCACATAATTGTTAAGGTTGGAAGGGACCTCTCGAGGTCATCTAGTCCAACCCCTGCACACGCAGGGTCACCTAGAGCACGTGGCACAGGACTGCGTCCAAGCGGGTTTGAAGATCTCCAGAGAAGGAGACTCCACAGACTCGGCGGGGCTCCGCTCGCTCGCGCGAGGCCGTTCTGCTCCGCTCCAGCTGTTTGCTGGGGATGAAGAGCACAACTTGCTGCGGGCATGGTGGGGAGAGCAGAGGCAGCTTTGGGCAAGGACCTCTTTGAGGAAGGCTTGGCAGAAGTGGGCCATAGTGGAGCAGAAAGCACAAAGCTCCCATGGCTAATACAGTATCAGCACCTCCTCATCTGATACCGTTTGGAGTCATGTACCTTTAGAAAGTTATACTATAGAAGCATTAATGTAGGTGTCATCACTTTTCTGTCACTTTCCCAGCCTGATGTCTATGTAAAAAATTACAAACAAATAAATAAAAAACCTCCTTCTTTTCGTCATAGTGTGATTTGTCTTCCATTTCAGAGGGTTTCCAGTGGTGAACTGATTCTAACAACTTTGTTGTATTCATAACTAAAGGCAGCTCGGTCACCTGTGAGTTAACAACTTTTTATTCAATACCTTTATGAAATGCTAGGTACAGATTTGCAGGGGGTAGGGATTAATGAGGCAACATAAAGGAGCTACTGCATCCTGATTAGCAGCTGCATCATGTGTGTCTTTGCCACGGGACCGGGGGCTGCTTCTGCCTCTGGGTGTTGATTGTGCATTTGGAGAAACCAGCACACGCACGTGCTGGTTTGGTTTTTAATTACTGCAGTGGAAGATTACTTATTACAGAGGGACCAAATGTCCCGGTTGGTCCAAATGATCTGTTTGCAAAAGACAAAATCTCATGATCCTTGTGATCATACACCTTTTCTGCAATACTGTTTCAGTCATTCGTGGCATGGGTGACCTTCAAATCTCAGGGAAGGGTCTTTAACTAATCAGGTCTTGCTAGAAAAGGAGAATGTATTCTGTGATGATCACCATTTATCTATTCATCCTGTCCTCCTTACTCTTTCTCTTCTTTCTTTCTGTTTTCTTTTTCAGGATGGAGTAGGTGTAGATGAGAAGCTGTCTTTACGGCGGGTGGCCGTGGTAGAAGATTTCTTTGACATTATCTATTCCATGCATGTTGAAACTGGGCCTAATGGAGAACAAATCAGAAAACATGCTGGACAAAAGAGAACGTATAAAGCAGTAAGTAAAACAAGTTGAAACAAATTAGCTGAAAGTGAACATCAGTCTATAAAAGTGTGAGTTATTTGTCCTTTCAGTCATATGTCATGAGATTGGTAGGTTTTTTTTGGTGTTTTTTTGGTGTTTTTTTATATGTCATGAAATTGGTAGGGTTTTTTGGGTATCTTTTTATTTTTTATTTTTTTCTTAATTGGATTAGTATTGCAACCATCAGGTTTCTTTCAGCGGTCTTTCAATAATTTGTGAAAACATACAGTTTACAAATCAGTTGGGCCATGTTTTTTACGTATTAAGGGCCAGATCCATTGACTTCAATAAAGATTTTCTAATTGGTTCAAGCAAGAGAATTTATTCTTGCTATCATGATTTGACAGTTTTTGTAATAACTATATTCATGGTATCTTTTAATTGCTATTACATGGATAAAGGCATTGCCACATAAGTTTGTTAAAGAGGTGCTGTACTTGAGCAAATGAATGAAGATTCATTATATTTTATTGCTATAGATTATGTTTTAAGGTTTAGTGGTATGAAAAATTGTAACTTTCCTAAATTCAAACAGCTGGAAAACTCCTGCGTACAATCAAAGAACTATTGAGAGGGCAACTGTCAAACCCACGTAAACTGACTGAATAAAGAGAAATGATTATTTCAAAGCTCTTTAATTGTGCTTTATTGCTTGGCCTGAACAGCTCAGCTGCTGCCTTTAAATAACAATACATTGCTTTTGTGTTTAGTGGCACAAATAAAACACTTCCTATTCTTAAAGGGAACCGATAAAATATTTATTCGTGTTTCCCATGCGCTGCTCCGTCTGAATGCAGTGGTTTTAACCTTAAACCTTAAACTCCAAGGTTTATCTGCAGTCATCTGTGCCAGGTGGCCATCGGGGCCATGGCTTAGGCCCTGGCACACGCACAGCGGGGCCGCCCATCCTCGCTGCAGCTTTCCTAAACCTAAAACCAGCCTGCAAATCATGATGGTCATTTCTGTGAAATACCACCCAAAAGTGTGGTCTGGTACCAGCGTTTTAAATCTCAGCTTCTGACCATAATAAATCTTTCTATTATTATTTTTCCAGATATTGGGCTTTAAAATACATAAGAATCTCTACTATGTATCTAAGAATCTCTTTACAAATACTTTATTTATAAGCTATTTCAAACAGTTTGTTGTTGCATAAGCTCCTAGCAATATTTCTTATAATGTGTGCCCGGCAGTATTGACCTGAGGACAGATGTACGAAGGAAAGCACTGGTCATTGGGGTGTGCTTTGTAAGGCTCACAGTGATACTGCAGAGTGAAGAAACACAAGTTGTCTGAATTAATTTTCATCTGTCACCTTAGCCAGTTTGAAACTTCATCTTCTCTTTTGGAAGGCGTTGGAAAAGTAGCAATTGACCACTACTTTTATATTTGTTTTTATTTTAGAAAGCTATTCTAAGGGACAGGTTGCGGCCCTCAGAGAATAATATACAAGTTTATAGAATGTTACCAACTGCAAATAGAATAAGTCATAATGCTACAAATATGGGCCAAGCATAATATTTATTACTCTGAGGGTCCCCTGGTCCCAAGCCCGATAAGATGTGTTTATTGTGAGCTGTGTGAAAGAGAAGTAGGGAAGAATCCATATAAACTCAGTAGGTTGCACAGTAGTTTCATTTGATGTTAACTTTTGTTGTAACTGAGGCACGAGTTTCTTATATAATTAGGAGACAATGATAAAGAAGCTCTTTGCCAGGGCTTTGCCAGTGTTGTCATCAGTGTTTGAAATATTTGTGTGTTTGTTTCAAGGCATACTAGTTTTTCAAGAGCATTAAATCATATGTCTCAAGGACAGGATTCCCAGTTATAATTTTAAAATATTTCTGTAAATGAAATAAAGAAGGAGAAAACACTCCTGATCAAAACAGTATCAAGTATCAGTTCTTGCACGCTATCCCAGCATGAGGGTTATGTTAAATAAACAGGCCTCAAATTCTACTGGATAACTTAAGGAAATGCATTACACCTTATTGGACCTTTCAATGAAAATGTCTTTCCTCTAGAAGAGGAGTGCTAGTGCCATCCTGTTCCAGAAGGCCAGGCAGTAGATGCTCTGTGGTGGTAGAGAAGGAAAAAAATCCTCTCAGATAACTGCCTTCCTTACAAAAATGTTGCCCTAAGAGCTTTATAAATCAAACTGCAGTACTTTGGTGGGGTTTAATTTTATTAGGTGACTTCAGAACAAGATTAATTTAGTCTTGTTTCTTTATTCACTAGTCAGAAGAGAGTGATCCCTGAGATCTGTGGATGTCTTTGTCGTATATAAGTATTTACTTAATAATTTGAGTGAGAAATTGGAGTGAGGATGGTTCACAAAGTGAACCTACGGTTATTTTGCTGTTTGTTATTCATAATTCCGAGTGTGTGATGATCTCATTGCTACTTCTTCCTGACTGGACAACCAAAGCATTTAAGAGAAAACTGAGGGGGAGAAAACACTACCTTCTGGGTACAAAATATCTAAACTTTGGTAATTCATAAATACTGTCATGATTTTTCAGTATCTATTTAAAAAAAATGGATGGCATCATACTATATTCAAGTAATTCATTGGCCTATATATTTGTGGGACTATTTTCATTAGTGAATGTGCTTCACTCAAAACTTTGAATAGTACTCAAGCGTGATTAGAAAGGTGATGAAATTATGAAAGGTAACTTAATTAACTGCTGTTTGTATTTATATGGAGAAACAGATTCAGAATATCTGGAGATAGCGCTGAGTATTCACCTTTCCCCTGATGTGAAAAGAAGTCATGTCTTTTTCGTTTTTGATAGAGTCCTCCCAGATGCTGGAATGCTAGAATACATCTGTATCCCTCTCTGAAAACATACTTAGCACAGTTCAAACCTCAATTAGTGAATTCGTAATCTACTCTCTTATTTATGTGCCAAATTAAATAGGGCTGCTATTTATTATCTAAAAAGAGCTGCTTCTGGAGGGCAGCTCTGCAGAGAAAGACCTGGGCATTGTAGTGGACGACAGGCTGACCATGAGGCAGCAGTGTGCTCTTGTGGCCAAGAAGGCCAACGGGATCCTGGGGTGCGTTAAGAAGAGCATCTCCAGCAGGTCGAGGGAGGTGATCCTGCCCCTCTACTCAGCCCTGGTGAGGCCACATCTGGAGTATTGTGTCCAGTTCTGGGCTCCACAGTACAAGAGGGATGTGGAGCTGCTGGAGAGAGTCCAGCGCAGGGCCACAAGGATGATCAGGGGCCTGGAACATCTGCCCTATGAGGAGAGGCTGAGGGAGCTGGGCCTGTTCAGCTGGAGAAGAGAAGGCTGAGAGGGGACCTGAGCAGTGTCTAGAAGTACCTGTTGTAGATTTACACCAACAAAAGAGAGCTGACTTAGATATGTATAAAGCGAAGCCAAGAGTTTTCATGCCTTTATAACTTTAAATTATATCCAGCCCATTGTGGTATTGACACAGAAATCTGTCACACCGAAGGAATCCCTTCTGCTGTGTTCATACTTTTAGTTAGCTCCATGGATCCCGTGGAAGTCTACAAAGAGGAGCAATAAGGACATTGATCCAAGGAGATTCTGCTCCCACAAGGGCAGGGTAGGTGACACAAGGCCAGGTTATGTCGGTTGCTCAGCGGGAGCACAGGTGACTAGGAAGGTGAAAACCACATGTTCCTTGCTCATGGGGAAAGCCGCAGGGCTGGAATATGACCCATGTATTCTACCCAAATCCTTTGGGATATCAGACTCCACAGAAGCTGAAGTGAAACCCACTGTCTAAATGAACTGGTTAAGGAGTTGGGAAAATGCACAGAGGACGTGCTGGGAGGGTGAATCCGTAGCATTCCCTTAAAATCCAGTGTCCTAGATGGCTTTGTTTTGGGATAGTGTTTTTTCACTCTGTGTCCTAAAGGACTATTATAAAGTGTACAGGTATCAGTCCCATAAAGGAGAACTTGTACTATGAAAGTGGAGGGACACATAAGAGAAACGTTAAGGAAAAGTATTATGGCATAGTGGGAAAGACACCACAAGTACCTCACTGGCTTTCCTGTGCCCTTATATACTATTCAGCTGTGTCCAAAATTCAAGTGCTGAGGAGTATATGAGAGATAAGAATCAAAGGGAAAAGTTGTGCTTTTATGCTACAGGAGCAGCATAACGCCACAGTCTCAAAGCTGTTAAGACAACTCTTTGTGGTTCAGTGCAAACCTAATGAAATTTCAAGATACTCAAATGGCCACTTGATGAGACTGAGGATGGGAAATATCTCTGCCTCCTGTCAGGTCCCGCTCTGAGTACAGGAAGGATCAAGCCCTGAATTCCTGAGTAGATTTTATTTTCATTTAATACTCTTAAAGATTTGTTTTTCGATTATTTAAACAATAGACTATGAGGAGCAAGTGCTTCACCTTTGTGTGTTATTCATGGTCAAAGATTCCTGTAACTAAATGACTCATCTACCCTAGAATTCTTTGGGTAAGTCTTGTAGCCATCTAAAACACTTTAATCTCTGTGTGTTTGAATATTTTTACCTGAGATTGATGATCTGATATCTGCCTGTTGAGTCTGCATAGACAACCTGGAAAGCTTTGAACTGTTATGGCCGTGCACTTGGATTGTGAGGGGGGTTGTGTTGTCTATGCAGAAGAACCAGTCAGTTAATAAAATTCCCAACCCATGAATGGAAAAGAGCACAAGGATGATGAGCTAGAAGAGAAATAGGTTTATAAAATGTGGCAGATATTGATGTGTCAGGGGGAAGTAGCCTGGGGAAAGCCTCTGATCAGATAAGTAGTGCATAAATATGTAGTATTTGCAGAGTAACCTAAGTCTACAAAGCGTGGGACAGTATCTGGGGTCCTGTGCTTCGTGTCGAAGTCGAAACTGTTTCTTGGTTTGGGTCCATGTTATTAAGTCTCCTCTCTCTTTCCTATCCCCCCAACAAAAACTTTTTCAGTTGTGAAATGTGGTATGACTTTTCTTAC